AGCAGTGTTGGCTCCTAGACTCTGACCGTGGTGCTGAAACTACAGAGCACGGCAACATCATCCCAGTCAGCACCATGGACAGCGACCACAGAGCCACTTTCCTGGACTGGGTCCTGATAGAGGAAATAGGAAGAGGGTCTAGATACAGAGCCAGGTGTGTTGGAGACCCTGAGTAGGAGCCCAACTGAACAGGATGTGGGAAGCTGAAGAGGTAGATGACGTCTAGCTGGACCATGGAATGTTGCTATCTGGATAGGCAATTATTTTTCTACTCTACACCAGGGTAGGCAGAGAGGAAGCCAAGATGGAAGCATCCTGGAACTTCGTTGTTATACAGAATACTGACTTTTCTTCGTTGCTTATGAGTGTTATTATGAATGGAATAAGGTTTGAGTATGATTATCCCGTAGACTAAAATCTGTTTTTGCAAGGTTCTTCAGAGAAATTGAACCAACAAGATGTTTGTTTATGTATATACCTGTCTGTCTAAGTATCTATTTATTTCTCTAGGAGTGTACATTATGAGTGCAATGTGGCTCCATTTACCGTGGGCCAACTTTTGTTCCATGTTTAGAGCCAATAAACCAGCAGGCTGTTGGAGCACGTCTGGCTCACTGAGATGCAGCATTAAATGCAGGGTCTCTTCTTAGTAGGTCCCTATCAATAACATTGACCTGGCTCATTTTTATCTTCCTTTTGCCATATCCAAACCCTTCATGTCCATTTGCACACGTTTCTCTAGATTTGTATGTTTATAAATCAGAAAAACTTAGTAGTCACTTTGCAGTGTAGCACATTTCCTCATGGATCACACACTCAACCTATGGCTTAGAAGCAAAGATGGGTAGTGGGGGTGGATCCTGAGGAAATTGGCACTGTCTTGCATGGCAACTGCCTGGGGGGGGCATTACTGTTTCCTCAGATAGTGCAGGGTTAATCTTCTCAGAGGCGGGTGAAGGGAATGCTTTCATTGTCAAAGAACAGAATTAGGGAGCTCACTGTATTTACCATCTCAGGGTCTTTCACGTATCCCTATTCCAATCTCAGGATTTCACACCTTCCCAATCAATGGCCTCAGAGTAGACACCTTTGAGGCTGGGAATTCCATTTGCAGTGTAGTTTCTGAGAGACCCCACCCCCACAGGACTTCCCTCCTGTTTCAGAAAATCCTCTTATGTGCAGAGGTAACACCCTAAGGTTAGGGAAGGACTTCCCCTCATGTGTCCAGGAACACCATGTGTCTAAGTGCTGTTAAGAGGGAGCCTCTTGTATGTCTGGACTTGTGAGTTCCTCAGTGTGACTGCAGCCTCAGGTAGGACCAGAAAGTAAGCCAGTTAGGTTGGAGAGGTGGGCAGGGGTCAAGTGAAATGGAGAACTCTGTGTTAAGCAAAGGGTGTGTTTTTTCTCTCCAGCAGGCAGTGGGGACCACAGACATTTGTAAGCAAGAGCGGACAGGAGACAACTTTCAATCTGGGCTCGCCATTTGGGATTTCCATGTACACACTGGTTTCTGTTGGGGGTCTCCTGGGCCTCTGAGAAGGGCGAGTGATTTTTCTCTGCATGAAAACGCAGTGATCCAGCTGTGTGTATGTCACCTCCTGAGGGTCTTGTCCATCAGAGTCCTGGAAAGAGGGAAATGTTGAGTGAGGGAGGGGCTCACATTCTTCGGGACTATTAGGGAATAAGACTCCATCCCCGAGGCCGGGCCAAGGAGGACCTATCTCCCTGTTCACTGTTCTGTCCGCCCCAGGCTCTTGGTCCATTACAGTAGCATCTGGAGGAGACAGAAGTCATCAAAGCACCTGGGAGGACACTTCTGGGTCCTCATTTCATGTGCAGACACCAACACACAGTGGGAGGCCATGGGTGCCTGAGGCCCCTCAGCTGCCAACAGCCAGATTCAGACACTTCTATCTGAGTACCAGGACCCCTCCCATGAAGAGCTCTCAATTCCCATCCCATTGATTCTGAGCTGAAGGCAGGGGCAGGTGGTCTGGTGCTCTCTCTAGAAAGCCCTGCCTCTGCGGCTCCTGCCTTGGGCCAGAGAGCATCCTGCCAGTGAGGAACACACACCTGCGTGCTCCCATCCTGCTTCCCCACACGGCCCTGAGGTCTCTGGCCTCTGCTTCATGAGACTTACTCTTTTTGTTGGGCCCCAGCGATGAATGAGAAAGAAGAGGAGGAGGATGAAGAATGATGGCTACTGAGGACCCAATCAGAACGTGCAGGTGTCTGGGGTTACCCTGGAAGGAGACGGGAATCCAATAAGAAGCTGACCACGGCAGCTCCTCTTCATGGATTGTCTCTCTCTCTTGGTTCTCAGGTATCTCTTGGTTGCCAGGTAACCACCTGCAACGTCTCTTTAGACCAGCACCCCAGTGGTAGGTGACCCAGCTTTCTGTTATAGTTCTCACGATAATCAGAGAATGTGCTGGAGATACCACAGCTACACTTTGAAAGTCTGACCCCCTCCAAACTCACACTGATATTTAACTCACAGTGTGGAGTTTGGGCCTTTTGTGAGGTGTTTCCGTTATGGGGTCCATCCATCATGAATAGATAATGCTGCCCCCATGAGACGGGGTTAGCAAGTTTTCTGTTAGTTCCCTGAAGCTGGTTGCTAAAACAGCTTGGAGGCTCCACCGCCTCATCTCGCTCCCTCTCTCGTGCCATGTGGTCTCTGTGGTCTCTGTACACACAGGCCCCCTTCCTTCTGCCACAGTGGGAGCAGCCTGAGGCGTCACAAGAAGTAGATGCTGGTGCCATGCTTCTAGTACAGCCTGTAGAACGTGAGCCAAACACATCTGTTTTCTTTAGAAGGTACCCAGGCTCAAGGGCGCTTTGATAGCAACGAAATGGACGAAGACAGCAGCGTCCTGAGATCAGGAGGAACGTCCCAGAACAGCCTGGGCTCTCTCCTCCTGCTCTTCCTCGAGGAGGTTGTGATGCTTTAGCTCAGTGCTTCCTGTGCTCCAGGGTGCAAAACCCAGGCGGGGCTGCTTTTCGGTTCCCCCAGCTACACTGCATATGGGTGACTCCGTATGTCCTGGGCAGCTTTTCTAAGCCTCGGGGACTGGCTCGCCCTGAAAGTTAGGCTTCTGCTGTCACTTGCTGCTGATCTGTGAGTAGTGAACCTGCCTTATGTAATTTATTCTGTCTGTGTTCTGTCTCCCAGGAGTGACTGTCAGGGATAGAAACTGGCATAGCCCCAGGTGCAGTCCAGGAGTGTTCAGAGTCTTCCTCTAGGAAGACTGGGCTGGGATTGACACACAGTCAGTGTGCTTTACAACTTCTGCATCCACAACACTCTCGACTCAGACAAATTACATTCTCCAAGAAAAGGGGGAAAAAATGAACTGAAATCAAAGAAGTGAAGTAGAACTGTCTTACATCAAACAGCCAGGAAATAGGGTGGAAGCCCATGGGCAACGTGCCACTTTTTGTGATCTCATGAAATGTATAATAGCTGCTGTTCTACCCGAGAGCCGGGAAGGAACAACCCCTCCATCATCTATTGCTTCAAAATACAGCCTGTCTGGCCGGGCGCGATGGCTCAAGCCTGTAATCCTAGCACTTTGGGAGGCCGAGGTGGTGGATCACGAGGTCAAGAGATCGAGACCATCCTGGTCAACATGGCAAAACCCCGTCTCTACTAAAAATGCAAAAAAAAATTAGCTGGGCACGGTGGCATGTGCCTGTAATCCCAGCTACTCAGGAGGCTGAGGCAGGAGAATTGCCTGACCCAGGAGGTGGAGGTTGCGGTGAGCCGAGGTCACGCCGTTGCACTCCAGCCTGGGTAACAAGAGTGAAACTCCGTCTCAAAAACACACACACACACACACACACACACACACACACACCACACAAAAAATACAGCTGTCCTTCTGTGAATTAGCAGGAAAGGGGGCCAGGAGATAGTGCTGGCTTTGGTCTCTGAGACGAAAACTGAGCTCACTCCAAAGAATATTAGTTTTACCTCCCCATAATCTATCTGTATCTCCACACGTGATTGGAAGTAGGGGTGAGGTGGGGGATTTGGGTGAGGGGGCAAGTTTTTGCCATGAAGAGCACTTTCTTCTCTATTTCAGGACCTGTGCTGGTGGGTTGAGGGCTTTCCCATTTTCCATATGATTTCATGCTCACAGAAAGCCACATAGGAAGAGGTTCTAGGCTGATTTTCTAATGTATAAGATTAGGGATCAAAAAAGTCATTATGGAGAAGTGGAAAATGACTGGAATTCAGGTGCCGTTGTCATTGTGTGCGTTATGTAATATTTACATATTTTTTAATTTTAGTTTTCGAAATGGAGCCTCCCTGTGCAGGCTGGAGTGCAGTGGTGCAATCTCGGCTCACTGCAACCTACGTTAGGTATTTCTCCTAATGTTAACCCTCCCCACCCCTGCTATCACTCCCCTGAGCTACCCTTGCTTTTCAAAAGCAAAATAAAAAATAATAAAAACCAGTGTGGTCATGATATATCGTCTATTTTACAGAGACATGAATCTTACTTGCTAATATTTGTTAAGGGATTTAAATTTCTTTGAGAGATCTCCTATGACTTTCCCATTCTGTAGTTTCCTTGTCAGGTTTTGGTATCGATTTGTTCCTAGTCTGATAAAATTTATTGTGTAAATATATACAAAATATTCTCAGGGAAATTTATGCAAGTTTGGGTATGGGGTGTGTGTGTGTGTGTGTGTGTGTGTGTTTCTTGAGTGCATAAGAGTTTGAAAAAGCCACCAACAAACCTTCCTGAAGTGACATTTACCTTGTGAGAACATTTTGATTGCAGGATTCATACATTTTATATATGTTTACATATGATGATTCAGATTTTCTATTTATCCTTAAGTTCATTAAATAAACTGTAGTGTTGAATATTCATCTATCTCATCTGCATTTTCTGTTATGTCCGTGCAGAACTGCTCAGTTTCCTTTCACCTTTGTAAAGCTGTGTGTAGGGTCTGTCGTGCTGCTCCTATTTTGTTCCTGTATGGAAATGTGTGCCTGCTTTTTTTTTTTTTCATTGTGGCCAAGATTCATGTATCATTAATGTTTTCAAGAATAAACCTTATCACTTTATTACTTTTTCTCTATTTTTCCTTTGTCCTCGTTAGAAGCTCCTACTATCCCATGTCACTGGTTTGATGTGTAATATTTACATGATCAATCAATTTAAAACCATTTTCAGACTTCTGTTTTGTTTTACCAGTTAACTCATTGTGAGCTGAGAGGTCTGCCTCTTTATTTTGATAATACAGGGATCCTATTTATCTTTGCAGAATCAGGTGACTCCCAAAGCTCCTAGAATCTTCCAGTGGTCTATGTTAGGGGTTCAGGCTGGCTGGGGTTCAATGGTGCCGACTGGGGGAAGCTTCCATGCCTTCTGGGGTCCTGAGTCTTCATGGTGTGTAGAGACTGGGTCCTCCCTGGACTAGTGGACAGCCAGAGTGGCGTAGATGCTGTGCTCAGCTGGGGGCTCCCCTGCCTGGGACGAAGGAGGCTCAGTTGCCTCCCGTTTAAGGGTCAGCTGTGCAGCTGGGCATAGGTCACATCCTGGGGGCTTCAGATGCAGCAGCCTGCAGAGGGGGAGAATGAGAGGGAAGGTGTGTGGTGAGGTGAGAGAGGAAAGGACCTGCCTGACTGACCTGACTGTCCTGCCTGTCCTTTTCTGCTTGTGTGTCCCTTGTGCTCAGGAATTCCCCAGACAGGGGAAAGAGGGGAGGCCATTTCTCTCCTGGTCTGGAGTGATTCACCTTAGCATAGGTCACTGCGTGGGGGTCTTCATCATGGGCTGTCCTGGAGAGACAGTGGTGGGGGGTGTCCTTGAATCCCCCTGACTTCCTGGAGTAAATTTTTCCACTGTTCCCAGAGTGATCCCTTACATCCCTTTCCTGATGGAATCTCAGGCGCCCTAAGCTGTGGAGGGTCTGGCTGCTCCCTCCCTGAGGTTCTGGCCTCTCCTCCTCACTCTGACCTTGCCCATTTGCTGCAGCCTCACGCCCGCCTTCCCGCAAGAGCTCACTGTGACCTCGGGGCCTTTGCATTAGAGGACGTCCATTAGAGGATGGTGTGGCCCTCTCTGTCCAGGCTTCTCAGATGACAGCTGACCAGACAGCCCTCGCCTTACCATTCAGACTGGCCCCACTGCCCCACACTCTCTGCCCTTTCCCTGGTTTGTTTTTCTTATAGCACGTGGCACTCCTGGACACTGTGTTTATTTGCATTTTGTCTCCCACTGTGAGGTGAGCTCATGAGGGCAGGGGCGGCTTTGCTCCCTGCTGTGTCTGCAGCTCCCATGGGGAGCCCCATCCCACGGAGCTCCTGGGAACACTCGCTGGGTGAATGAATTAAGGAAGCCCAAGGCACCAGGGTGGTTCATTCCTCATCCTCCTGAGGCCTGGGGATCCCTCTAACAACCAGATGGCCAAACAGAGGACGAGGAGCAGGAAGGGGACCCGGGAGGAGGCCCACGAGGTCCCAGGACACCAGGAGAGAGTGAGGTCACAGCAGGCGGGAGGCAGCATGCTGGACACGGAGGGTCCACCCTGGATGTTGCTGAGAGCCAGGGAAGGAGGACAGAGAAGTCCTGCTGGATTAGATCCAGCACCAGGAGCCTTTGGTGCCCGAACAGGGGCGGGGTCTCACCCGAGTGTCCAGCTCCACCTCGTCCTCAGGCTGTGTGTCCTTCACGGCAGCATCTGCTGGGCAGAGCAAGGGATTGTCTCCTGGGAAGGTTCCCTGGGACCTCTCAGCCCCGCCAGCCCCTGCCCAGCTCCCAGATGGGGCCACTGAGATCCAGGGAGGGGCTGTAATGTCTCAAGGTCCCACAGTGTGGGGTGAGATCCTGTCACCCTAAGCCCCAGACCCCTTCCAGCCTGTGCCCTTTCCCCATTGCTATGGAAACTGTGGGTCCCCATCTCCCTCCTGGCTGGGGTCACCTCTTCCTGTCACTCACAGAGAGTTTCTTCCTGGGTGTCGGCAGCTGGGCTGGACCTGATGGAGGACACGGAGCTTTAGGGGCAGTGTATGGGCCAAGGCGGTGTGGAGTCTGGGGTCTTCAGGCAGAATTACCTCCTCTGCAGGCCTCCGCCTGTGGTTCTGGCTCCACAGCCCTGCAGGATGTTGGAAAGCAGCCTCTCTCTGGGCTGTGTGAAGAAGGACAGAGTCTCAGCCCTGGGAACACCTGCCCTGCACACGCAGCTCGAAGGTAAGGAAGGAAACCTGGACACACTCCTGCTTCCATGCTCCAAATGTCTCATAAGGTGGAGAGAGCCCGAAGGACACTTTACATTTGTATGTGGGGACTGACACTAAGTGCTTTCTCCATTTGCCTGGTGAGAAGTGCTAGAACAGTTTCTCAAAGCTGCGTTTTCCCAGCAGTTTGGATTCTCTCTGGCCGGTGCCCTGAGCCCACCCTTGGTTGGCCCACGGGGTCCCCCCTTCTATACTCACCTGATGTCCAGTGTTTGCCCTGATGCTGATATCGGAGGACGAGGAAGAGGAGGAGGAAGAGGAGCAGGATGAAGGCCACTGAGACCCCGGTCACAACCCCCAGGTTCCTTCCCAGACCTTGAGCATGAGGACGTCAGGAATGGGGTGGTGTCACTGATTGAGCGCCTACTGTGTGCACGTGACTGCTCGGCCTCTTGTTCACCACCTCCAACCCCCACTACAGTCGAGCAGCATGGAATTGACACATCCACCCCACCCACTATACAGACCAAAAACTGAGGCTCAGAGAGGGGAGTCGCCTGCCCCAGGCCCCCCAGCCAGACAGTGGCAGAGTTGGGAAGGGAACCCGGGAGTCTGACGTGCAGCCCTTGTTCCCTGCACCTGAGCTGAGCCCCGGAGCTGCAGGGAAGGAGCCTGACCTCCTGAACCACAGCCCTGCTCCCCTCCCCTGCCCCAGGTAACTGTCACCGTCACTGCTGCAGGTGGGACAGGACAGGCCCCTGACAAATCGGGTCTGGAGGCTTCCCTAGGTGGCCTCCTCCCCAGGAGGTCACAGCTGAAGTCAGAGCTGAAAAGAACTTTCCCATCCTGCAGGCCTCTCTCTTTTACACTTGGAGAAACTGAGGCCTAGGTGGGGATGGGGGGCCTGTCCATGTCACCATCTCCAGAGGAACCTTAATCCAATGACAGAACCCACCCCTGCCACCCCTGGACCCTGGCCACCTGCCACTCAGAGACCCTCACTCACCACTTTGGGGATCTGAATCTGGAGGAGTGACAAGCTGGTCGCCAGGGCCTCGTGGGTCAGGACGCAGAGGTGAGGGCTGGGGCTGTCCCTCTCCTCATGTCAGCCCAGCTGCCCCTCACCCAGCTGGACCCCAATGTCTCCCTCTACCTCGAGCCCCCACCCTCAGCAGCCCAGCCTCAGAGCCCCTGGGAGCCTGTGCCCCGCTCTGTCTCTGCCCAGCTCCTGGAGGAGGCCTGCGCTGAGTCCTTGAGGGGAAATGGATCCTCTGGGAGACTCGGGACTGCCCTGGGGGAGGCCACACTCCCTCCCAAAAAGAGGCCTCAGTCACTCACCAGGTGTGGGGGTGGGACCGGTGGGTGAGGGCTGGGGCCCCAGGAGGGTCCTGGGTAAAGAATGAGAGAGATTTGAGGAGCTGGGCCTTCCCTGAAGCCTGCACGTCAAACAAACTTGCTCCACATCGGCCCTGTGGCCCCCTCAGTCCCCTCCCCTATGGCCTCTCCTCTTCATGATGCTGGTGAAGCCGCTGAGGGTGGGTGTGCCTGGGAGGGCCCCATTGTCCTCTTTCCCTCTGAGGGCTGAGGCCGCTCTGGCTGAGCCTCCTTCAGACCCACCTCCCTCCGTCCCAGCCCAGAGATCTCTTGGGTCAGGGCCTGAACTGAGCCTTTGAGCTTAGAGAGGACAGGATCAGGGCCCTCACCTGAAACCATGAGCTCCAGGGGTCACTGGGGTGAGACAGCAGGTAGGGGTTGGAGGTGTATGAGCCATAGCACCTGTAGGTCCCCGAGTGGGCTGAGGTCACAGGACTCATGGGGAATTCAGCCTGGTCCCTATCAGATTGGTGCTTTGATCTTAGACATAGAGGGGCATCAGCTGCTCCCTCCTTGGTCAGAAGAAAGTGTCCATCCACCTCTGTGACTGACACAGCAGGGTCACGTTCTCTCCTGAGGCCACCGTGGAATTCGGCTGCACTGAGAGGGAGGGTCTGCCAGGGATCTGTCCTGGAGAGAACAAGGATGGTGAGGGGCTGCCCGCCTTGTTCTGAGCTGAGACCTCCCCAGGCCTCTCTCTGGGCCCTCAGTCTCTGTTTTCTCTGAGTCTCCCCCTCCCTGCACATCCCCTGTCTCTGTCTGTCTCTCCCTCCCTTGGGACTCCCACCCCTCATCCCAGCCATCACCATCTGGGCTCCCCCAGCAGGACCTGTGCAGAGCCTGGGTCTCTGACTGAACCCGCTGGGCTCCTCACCTGAGATCAGGACGTCCAGGGGGTCACTGGGGGCCGACTGCTCGGAGGAGACGTTGTGGGCACCGGAGCATCTGTACTGGCCCCCGTGGGAGACCCTCACAGGGCTCAGGGTGAAGTTGGCCTGGGAGAGCCCAGCCTGGGTCTGCCGGCCAGGGCGCTGGAGGAGGTCAGGCCCCCAGTCCTTGTACAGAGCAAACCTGTCATAGCCGACATCAGAGCCACACTGGAGGGTCAGCCTCTCCCCAGGGGCCACGACAGGCCCCGGCTGCACTGAGAGTGATGGCTTCTCAGAAGCACCTGGGAAAGGTGGTCATGGTCTCCAAAAGCCGACCCTCAGGCTCCCCACAAATCCTCCCTTTCCCCCAGCCTCACCACTGCTGATCTTCCTGTGCCTCTGGCCCAGGAGCCCTGAGCCCTCTCACCCCAATATTGTCCCACCTGGAGCTGCCCTGAGACGCGGCTCCTCCCCACCTGCCCGGAGACTCAGGGATCTCCAGACAATGCTGTGAATTTCTCACCTGGACCCGGAGCTCCAGGAGATCACTGGGTGAAGACCACACATAGGGAGAGTGAGAGTCATAACATAGCACCTGTACGTCCACCTGCGACTGGGCTCACGGGGCCCACGGAGAAGACGGCCCAGGACGACCCACGGTACGGGGCTGGGAGCTCAGGCATGGTGAGTGTTCATCTTCTCCTTCCTTACACAGAGTGAAGTGATCAAATGGCACCTGTGAGCGACACCGGAGGGTCACGCTTCCTCCTGGGGTCACCACAGGGCTGGGCAGTGCTAAGAGGGTGGGTTTGCTGTAGACTCCTAGGAGAGAAGGAGGCCCCGTGTTAAGTGGGGCTCACACCTCCCACATCATCCCCAGGGCTAGGCTGTGAGAGGGAGATGCCCCTGAGTACAGAGCCCCTTCCTAAGGGCAGAGCCTGGGGCTGGGACCCCTGAGTGTCTCTCACCTGTCACCATCAGCTCCAGGGGTCACTGGCTCTGACCAGCCAGTGTGGCTGTAATACCGACAGTGATACTGCCCTGCGTGTTCCCAAGTAATGGACTGGATGGGGAACTGGCCCTTCTTCACAAGCTCCCGTGGGATCCACTTAATCCAGGATGCTGATGCTTTTTCTTTATTTAGACGGTACTCCTGGGTCTCCAGGCTCCCCTGACATCTGAGGGTCACAGGACTCCCCTTGGTGATCACAGAGCCTGGCTCAGCCCTAAGGGTGGCTTACGGAGGTCCCTGGCAGGAAATCAGAGGTCAGATTCTAAGTCATTTCCACCCAACCCAACAGATTCCAGCTCTCAGTCCAGGACCCTCCAGACCCCCATCATCAGCCCAGAACTGCTATTCCCCTCCCCAGCTGCACGGGGGTGGGCCTTATCCCCAGTGAGGAGGAAGACCTGGGCCAGCTGGGGACAGACTCACCTGCCTGCATGTGGTTCCTGGAGCCCAGACTCAACCCTGGAAGAGAGTTCCCTGTGAGAGATTTGCCCCTGAAGCCTGAGCAGGTCTTCCCCTCCCTGGGTCTTTGTGAGCCCCTGGGGTCTCCTCATGGACCAGTTTGGCTGTGGGGTGAGGTCCCTCCTAGGTTAGAATTTCCCCTCCCTCTTCAAATCTCACCGAGACAGATCAGGACCATGAGGATGGGGGTCATGGCATCTCCTCCCACCGCCCTGCTCTGAGGATGAATGAGCCTTCGGTGCTGGCAGGACAGAGACACACAGGGTGTGGACACTTGGTGCCTTGGTTGTTCTTGTCATGGGGTTGTGTCATCTGTAGCCACACAGAAAGCAGAACTTCCCTCCCCAGGAGCCTGGCTCTCATTTCTTTAGGCTGAGGTTGGGGTGGGCCCAACCACTCTGCAGACATTTCAGACTGTAATGGGGTCTTTCCTGACCCCCAGCCACTGTCTGTCTGCTTTGTCCTCATCTCACTGAGAGCCGGGATGCAGCAGCAAATAGAACTGGTGCCTTCCTGTATCTGCCCTTCCAGATGAGGGTAAGCTAAGGATTCCTGTTCCTTCTCACAGCCTCCCATGAGGTCTCCCTCCCTCCTTCATCCTGTCCATCAGCACAGCAGTGTGAGGTCATTACCACAGCTGTCATCCCTCCAGCCCTGGAGATGCTTCAGGGAAGATGCAGGTCCATGCTCCAGGCAGGCTCAGATCAGCAGAGACGCATCTCACATCTGTCGGTGTAGTCCAGGCAGAGCTGTGTGGTGGCCGTGAGCCCAGAGAAGAAATGAAGGGAAACAGGGGAAGGAAAGTTGGCTTCTTTCTTGGCACTGGATTGTGGGTTTTCTTTCAACCAAATTAGTTCCCATCTCAACTTCCCCTTTTTAAAAATGAGTCATCTCATCCTGCATCTGTGACTTTTCTGTTGGGTGTCTGCAGTGAGGGGCTTGGGGTCATGAAGTTTAACCTGAGAGTTTCAGGAGTTTGGTTCAGGGCAGGGCTTGTTTCTACATCATTGGCAAAAGGGTTAATTTTTAGTGTTTCTAGAAACAACCTAAGGCGCTTTATCAGTACCTAGGAATGTTCGAGACCTCAGCTTTGGTTCAAGGCTGCAGGTGAAACATGCATCTGTCCAGCCCACAGAGCAGTCGTGGCAGTTTGTCTCTCGAACAAAGAAAAAGTGGAGGAAACCGTGGGACCCTAGGGAGACCATGGCTCCCCCTCGTCTGTGTTTTTGGACAGAATCTGGGATAGGCTCAGCTCAGTGACCTGGGCCACACTCAGCTCTGAGCCACCTTTTCCGCGTGCGCATGACACAGAAGTGCTTTATCATTGTTGGACCATCACCTCTCACACATGAGTGTGAGGCTCACAAGGGCCCTGCTGTGCCGGAGCTGATTCTAAAGCTTGAGAGAGAGGAAACTGCAGGGCAGGACATCGGCTAAAGCAAAACCTTATCAGTTTTCATTCCTGAGGTCAGCCCTAGGAGAAACTCTGTATGGAAGATCAGGTGTGTGGGAGAAACCACCCCAAGAAATGAAAATCACAGAATCCAACTGGGCGCAGTGGGTCACGCCTGTAATCCCAGCACTTGGGGAGGCCAAAGCGTGTGGATCACAAGGTCAAGAGATCGAGACCATCCTGATCAACATGGTGAAACCCCATCTCTACTAAAAATACAAAAAATTAGCTGGGCATGGTGGCGCTGCCTTCCTCCCCTTCACCCACATCTGGCATTTCTCCCCATGCTATCCCTCCCCAGCTCCCCCCCACGCTGTCCCTCCCCTATTACCCCCAATAGACCCCAGTGTGTGATGCTCCCCTCCCTGTGTCCATGTGTTCTCATTGTTCATCACCCGCCTAGAGTGAGAACATGTGGTATTTCATTTTCTGTTCTTATGTCAGTTTGCTGAGATGATGTTCTCCAGATTCATCCATGTCCCTACAAAGGACACGAACTCATCGGTTTTTATTGCTGCATGGAATATTACAGCCTCTGCTTTTAATAGTTATTTGGTTTTGCCTCTCCTCCATGTCAACTATCTTCTTGGTAATCACAGGTCTCAGAGTTAACTTTTGTTGTCCTGGCTAAATTGTTCTTTTTATATAGTTTTATCTGTGTATTTTTCCTTCATTTTAAAGCAACTCTTAAATAGTTTCTTAACTAGGAAAAAACCTTCCTTTGTTTCAAAAAATCCACATCCTTGGATTTTATAAACTTCACCAAAAACATGTTTATGTTCCCATGATTTAATTTAGTAACTCGAATTTCAAGCAAATTTTTTTTTAAAAACCGAGGTTTACCATAACATGGCTTTAAAGATTTTAAATTACTGGAGAGAGTATTGAGATTAAATTTGCTAAATTGATCTTACTAAATATAAATGTTATGTGAATTAAAAGGCATCTGAGCTGGTTTCTGCCAATCTGATAAGCACTTACTTTAAAAAAAAAAATAGATCGGCTCTTTCATGTAGTCTGGAAGTGAAATATCACCTCCAAATAACACATATAAGATAAAGATAGAGATATAACAGGCATAAAGAATAAAAAGCACAGGTCTAAAAGGTATTTTATTTTCTGTTTTTAAATAAAAATTCCTCTCTTACTTTAGATAATTAATAAAAGTCCAGAAGCCAACACAAGATGAAGGAGAGCCCTATCATCCAAGGCCTTTTCAAAAGAAAAAGAGTCAAACTTTGATACATTAATCACAGGAATTTAAAAAAGACACATTTTAAGAATTTAAACATTAAAAACATTTTGCATGAATAATGAGTTAATATTTAGTAAAAGCTTGTTTTTGTTTTTGTTTTGATTTGTTGTTTGTTGAGACAGAGTTTCGGTCTCATTACCCAGCTGGAGTGCAATGGCATGTTCTCAGCTCACCGCAACCTCCACCTCCTGGGTTCAGGCAATTCTCCTGCCTCAGCCTCCCGAGTAGCTGGGATTACAGGCACGTGCCACCACGCCCAGCTAATTTTTTGTATTTTTAGTAGAGACGGGGTTTCACCATGTTGACCAGGATGGACTCGATCTCTTGACCTTGTGATCCACCCGCCTTGGCCTCCCAAACTGCTGGGATTACAGCGTGAGTCACCGTGCCCGGCCCTTCTTGTGTATTTTTTTTTTCTTAAGAGGGAAAAAGAGAAAAAGAAGGGGAAAAAAATAAAGAGGGAAAAAGGAATATTACTTCATTCCTAAAATGGGTTTTAAATAATGGCCGATCAATATTTTGAGTGTTTAAAGTGGTTAATGCATATTTTATGTGTTTAAAATGGAGACCTCTATTGTGTTTATTTGTTCTGGCTCTGAGTTCAAGTCCTGGATATCGTTATCAATTTGTTGTCTCGTTGAATCTAAATCTCATTATGTGTCTTATGTATCTGGGTGTTAAGATCTCTTATTGTTGCATTAATCCTTTTACCCTTGCATCCTTGTAACTTTGAGATCTATTTATTAAGTGTGAGAATTGCAACTCCTGCTTTTTATTATTTATTTTGCTCTCCATTTAGTTGGTGAGTTTTTTCCATCCCCTTGTTTTGAGTCTTTGTATATCTTTAGATATATCATTAGATTTGTGGATAATGAATATTTTGTGTTTAAAATGGCGAGCTCTACTGAGTTTATTTGTGCTGGATCTTAGTTCCAGTCCCGGATATCGTTATCAATTTTCTGTCTCGTTGAATCTAAATTTCATTATGGGTCTTATGTATCTGGGTGTTAAGATCTCTTATTATTACATTAATCCTTTTACCCTTGCTTGTATCCTTGTAGCTTTGAAATCTATTTTGTCAAATGTGAAAATTGCAACTCCTGCTTTTTATTTATTTATTTTTGCTCTCCATTTGGTTGGTATGTTTTTTTTCCCAACCCTTTATTTTGAGTCTATGTATATCTTTGGATATACCGTTAGATTTTGTCTGTATCTTTGATTGGGAGATTTGGTCGATTTAAATTTAGGGTTGCTGCCATTTGATATTAACTGGCTATTTTGACCTTTTGTTGATGAAAATTCTTCTTTATGTTAATGCTCTTTACTTTTGGTGTATTTTTAGAAAGGGTCATACTGGTTGTTCCTTTCTGTGTATAATGCTTTTAGAAGTTCTTGTAAAGCAGGCCTGGTGGTAATAAAATCACTGAGTACTTGCTTGTTCCTAAAAGATTTTATTTTTCCTTCAAATGGTAAAGCTTAAATTGGGCAGGATATGAAATTCTGGGCTGAAAGTTCTGTTGATTAAGTATATTGAATATTGGCCCCCACTCTCTTCTAGCTTGTAGGGTTTCCGTTGAGAGATCTGCTGTAAGCCTAATAGGCTTACCTTTATGGGTAACTTGATTTTTCTCTCTGGCTGCCCTTAATATTTTCTCCTTCGTTTCGATCTTGGTGAATCTAACGATTATGTGCCTTGGGGTTGGTCTTCTTGAGGAATATCTTTGTGGTGTTCTCTGTATTGCCTGGGGTTGAATAGTGTCCTGCTTTGCTAAATTAGGAAAATTTTCCTGGATAATGTCCTGGAAAGTATTTCCAGCTTGAATTCATTCTCTCCATCACATTCAGGTACACCAATCAAGCGTATATAGGTCTTTTCACATAGTCCCATATTGCTTGGAGACTTTGCTCATTCCTTTTATCCTTTTTTCTCTATGCTTGTCTTGTTGTTTTGTTTTATTAAGTTGGTCTTCGACCTCTGATACCCTTTCTTCTGCTTGATCCATTCGGCTGTTTAAGCTTGTACATATTTCACTAAGTTCTCGTGTTGTATTTTTCAACTCCATAAGTTCATTGTATTCCTCTCTGTACTGTCTATTCTTTTCAACATTTCATCGAACCTTTTTTCCAAGTTCTTAGTTTCTTTACATTGGGTTAGAACAAGTTCCTTTAACTCCCAGAAGTTTCTTATCATCCACCTTTTAAAGCCTACTTCAGATAATGGAACACAGTCCTTTTCCATCAGGGCTTGTTCCGTTACTGATGAGTCCTTTTCCATCAGGGCTTGTTCTGCTGCTGAGTGAGTCCTTTTCCATCAGGGCTTGTTCTGGGGCTGATGAGTCCTTTCCATCAGGGCTTGTTCCGTTGCTGATGGTTCTGATTTGAGTATGCTCAGCCTTCTTAGGCTGTTTTTTTTCCCTTCACTGTAGATGAACTGCCTTTCTAATTAGGTTTCTGAGTCGACGTCCGACTTATTGATTCCCAGTGCTGGGATCCGAGCAACCCACTGT